TACCAAGGAATGTCATGAACTGAAACTTCACAGTCCAAATGTTCTAAAGGGAGTTCCTCATCACCAGCCCTGCCAGGGAATCACATATAAATAACATATACATTACTGATAGTCTTGTTTATATGTAGATGTTATGTCATGCACATTCATAATGGGTATCCTGCATTATCCCTTTCCAAAAACATAACATGTTATTCAAAGTAAGAAACCGAGTTTTGGCTTACCATTGATCAGATACGTCACATCATTCAAAGTATCTATTGAAGTATATATTTATTTCCACAGCAATAGAAAAAATTGAAAACACTTTTTGGAAAAATATGGTCCAATGGCTTCAAATTCTCCTTTAAAAAACTCCCACCCACATGTTATCCTCACCACCCCAACAATCTTTCATACCCCAAGATACACTGGAATGCTAACCCCCTTTTTCTTCTCTCCAATAGAAAGAACTTGAGAATAAGTCTGCAAACCATTTACCGTGCCCCTATCACTTACAGAATTAGGGTGAGCTTCAGTTAGCAAAGGAAGCACTTCAAAAGCATCTTCCTCCATACCCCCAAACTTAGTATTTCACACTCTGCAACCCTAAGCTCCTTATAGCGTTTTCCTCATCCTCCTGTGCTTTCCTCTGCCTCTCGCCTGTCTGCAATTTCTCTTGTCAGCCATTCAGATTACATTTCGACTTTTTTTTCACAGGAAGTTTTTAGCCTCGGATTTTTGCATTGTGCAATTTACATGACAACACAAACTTGTAAATGCTTTTATGAAAATATAGGAAAACACATTTGGTCTGGTTGTTTCCATGGAACACCTTCATTTAAGACAATAGCTCCTCCTTATTGCCCTTTAGTGATTATAAGTAGGTTTCCCTGCTTGTGTTACTGTTTGGCAGGATTCAAAAGAAAAACCTCTTGGGTCCTCCCTTAAACCAGGAATAAAAGAAAAGAGACACTGCCCCCTAGAGGCTGCTTCGGGGGCTCACAAACCTAGTGGCAGACTTGTGCTGTCCAAATCTTCAGGATTAGAAACAGGTAATCGCTCTACAAGGAGTTTGCTAGAATTTAAGAAACCTGGGACAAGATTTTGTGAACGAGGATCTAACCTGCATCACCTGCCTCCATTTATCTTGTAACTAGTGATCTTCTGCTACCCCATCAAGGAATGAATTCTAGGAGTGCAAAAAAGGGGATGAACTGCTAAGTATCATTTCCAAGCCAGAGTATGGTGTTCCACGGGAACCTCTCAAATATCCACTTGAACAGTAATAGCCTCATATAAGGTGTCTGGAAACTTTTCATAAGCAGAGTTATACTTCAATACATGGATGAGTATTTTTTAAAAAATCCTAATGGGCCAAATGCAGCAAGAGGAGTTGAGCAAGTCTACTTACCTGTTCAGGGGAGGAATTTTTTTTTTTTTATCTCTTTACTATCTTGTCACAAAATGTAATATCTACAGCTCTGCTTTTTTCCTTCCTTTCCGTGAATTGTGGGGGATTTTTAATTTCCCAAAATTATTCCTACCATTCAAATAGAAAAAGAATAGAAAAATATAGACTTAGAAAAACAATTTCCCCAAACCAATCTGGAAAATGAACTAGGAATATGAAGAAAAAAGAGCAAGTTTAGGAGGGGAAGAGGATGTGTGTGGCCATCCTCCAAAGTTAGTCAACTGAACTGGCCCAGTGGCAAGTTTGTAATTTTTAAGCAAAAGGGGTGTAGGTAGAACAATATGACTTAAGGGTCTTAAGGTTGCATTTTCAGATACTTTATATGAGACTGTTAACTGTCAATCACCCAAGTCAAAGAGGGCCAAGGTTGTTTCCCTTTCCCTACCCCCCTTTCTCTCTTTCTCTCTCTCTCTCTCACACACACACACACACACACACACACACACCTTATAGTTGGGGATTTGCTTCTTTCCAGAGAATATCCTGACTGCTCCGTTGAATCTCACATCCTGAAACTCAGAGCTGATAATCAGGGGGAATTAGTTAGCCTTGATTTCCTGAGAGTCTCTGAATTTGTCAGGATAAAGAAATGAGGCTAATCGGAAAAGGCAGAGGTAGCTTGAGTTCACCTTAGTGCAGAGCTCCACCTCCTGTTCTGTACGGGTATGTTCCCTGAGCAGTCTCCACCAGCTGGGGGCTGCTCCACACACCAGAGCAATAGAAAACAAGCCATTCTCCAGCCCTCCTGCAATGCGGATTCTTGATTGTTCTACTCACTTGCCATGCCTAAAAGCAGATGGGATTTGTACTGTGGTGGGTGCTGATAACTGAAAGAGGAAAACACTCACTGGAATAAGGATTTGCATGTTTAATCTAAAGAGAAATGACTGCCAGCAATTTTATTGAGATAATTTTACTCTTTCACTTAAAAAATCAATTTTGTGCCACAGGAAAAGCAGCAAGGAGCCTTTATCCTCAGCTTTGTAAGATCAGTGAGTTGATCTTGTTGGAAGAGCATCATCTTCCTGGCTCATAAACTGAACCAGTTTGGTTTGCTTGACTCTGTAAACCCCTTTCTATGTTGATTTTAACCTTATTCTCCCTTGGTGCTCTGCTTTTCATTACAAAAAGAGCTTAAAGGAGAAGAAAACGAAAGGGAAGGTGTTTATTAAAGACAAAACTGTTAAGGGTCCAATATAGACTTACAAGAGTGGATGCTGCTAAGACAAAATTACATTTTCCTTTTTTGCTATATTGTAAGAACAACTTTGTTGATGACAGCTCAGCAGTAGTTTTTGTTTGCTTGCTATACCTTGTTTTGTTGGGAAGACAAGGACTCAGTAAAATTAACTAACCTTATCTCTACAGTTATACTAGGATGTTATATAATATGAAACAAAACATATTAAATTGAAAAATCTAAAAATCCTATTCTATATTTAAAAACCAACTGATGCTGGGAGCTTACACTGTTGGCACCTCTGAGGAATTTGTTATTCTCCAGGTAAAGAAGGTTTGGCTTAAAACTTTCCTTTCATACCTGAAAATATTGTTATTGTCTCATCTATCAAAAACATGCAAAACCTTTGGTATGATTCCTATGATGTTTATAAGAATAGTTGTGTTTCTCTATATCATAAATGTAAATATATTTTGTATCAATATAGTTTAAAAATTTCCATGTAGAAAAAAATTTTACAGTGGGAATCTATGGGCCTTTATCCTTTTGACTGACCTAATTCATAAGCTTGGCTTATTGGTTACCTGCATTATAGGGTACAATACTAACTCCAGACAGAAATAATATGCTAATATGACTTGGCTATTATAGCTTCTAGATGACTGAGGCACTACAAGAAACTACCACATTGGCATCACCCTTTTAAATTACTGCATGTAATCATACCTAATGCCCTGAAATAATTTGAGAGTATGAGTAAATATTTCATATCTTGAACACAATTAGTGTGAAATATTAAACAGAGAAAATTGTTTATTGCACAGTAAAACAAATATCCTGGGTCAAATTACTTTTCTTGAAAATTATCAGCATCAACTGCAAAGGCAGACTTGTATCCACATAGTTAACAAAACCATTTAGCCATGTAATCAGCTAGTTCTTATGTTGATCCCCAAATCTCAATATAGGAAAGTGTTAGGGAAAGCAAATGTCACTATAATGCTAGCATATAGATGAAGAAAAGGGTTTTTGAAGCAATACAAATATTTGATATAAAATTGAGAGTAATTCTGAGTTTGTCCTCCAAATCATTTAAAGATAATTGTCAAAAGAGAAGTCATTAAAGATTAGTGGGTCCAGGAATAATTAGTAATGGAACAATGACCATGGTAAGTGGAAGGAAAAAAACGAAACAATAAACCCAACCCGTGTACAAAATTCTGTGCTACATGGGAAAATTCTATAAAACCAACATGGTTTATAGTAATGGAAGATAGTACAAATGGATACAAGCAACTTTTGATCTTTAATATATTTTCTTTACAAATAACATTACTTAAATCAGGGAAACTAATTCATGATATCAAAATGAGGTATGTAAAATATTTAATGATGTTCCAGAATGCATTAATAAATGCAACTTTCTTTCCTCTCCCCTTCCCTTCCTGCTCCAGCTATTTTGGGGATACCAGTGAATCCTGACTTCAAGGTTAGGGTGTCGAAACACTGAACAAGGCTCCCTTACATTGTCCTTAACCATGGGCAATGCATGCATTGCATGCAAAAGTGTTAGAGACTCAGTTTCACTCTCTGTCACTTACCCACTCGAGGATATTCTAGTCCTAGTTCTAGGTATGACTTCTCACCTGCTGTTGGACTTTTACATTCAGGAGTAGAGCTCACATTCAGGAGATGATTTTTCTTTCTTCCTCCAGTCTCTTCTAATGTATCTCTATGCTTCTTTATATTCTCTCTCTCCAAAGAGACTGTAAATGCACCCAATTCAGACCCTTAATAGGATCCTTTAGATGGTAATCTCTCACCTTGAATTTTGCTTCACTTCTTTGCACAAATCCCCACATCAAAACCTTTTATACTGCTTTGTTTAGCTTATTCACTAGAAATAGCATGCTATCTTTCTATCCAATAAGGTCATGACAGTTATAAAATCTTGCAAATAACCCCTCAAAGTGTTCCATAGCACTCCAAAGTCTTTTAATTGATTGTGCCATATAAAGGTTACTGGATTTGCTTTAAATTTCTAAGAATAAATAACTGATAATAGGCAGTTGAGTCTAACTTTTTTCTTATTAACTTACTAAGTATCAAGAGACCCTAGCCCACTATGAAAAACCCCAGGCAAGTTTGAAGTTTGACATTTTAAATAAAAACAAAATCTATTTTCTATTTCCCAAACCAGCAAGAACATCCTTTCTTTTGAAAGGTCAGCTTCTAAAATATTCTGATAACTTGCCAATTGTCCAACTAACCATCTAAAGGGAAATTATTTAGAAATATTTGTGTCACATAGGTGCAGACTCAATAACAATTTCACTTTACAATTTTCTTTCATGAATATTCTTCTAGGGTGGAAGAATAAGAAGAAAAAGAAAGAGGTTAGAGAAAACTCAAAGAGCAGAAGGCACTAACTTTCATATGACATCTGCTACTTATTAAGGTATTTACATTCCTACTAATAGAGGACAAAGTAGAGAGAACAGCTATTTTTAAATAATCATTATTGAAATTAACAATAAACCAGCATCTCTGTTTGCAAAAGTACTTCCACATATACAAGCTTACTTAACATTCAGAGCAGCTGCAAGATGTCAGTAGGGCAAAAGAAATCTCTTAAAATGGGTCTGTTTCCCTTTCATTTTTTTTTTTCACAAAGCCCCTACATGAGTTTGGTACCAAGCATGGAAGTCACTGCTACCTTGGTTGCTCTTGACTAAGGCTGCCTTTATTGAACATCCATCATAAGTAGATAAAGGTTATCACCAAATCAATTCAACCTAGAAATCTTCTGAGACCTTCCAAATAAAAGCTCTTCTTTAATGTTAATAGATACAGTTTAAGATTTTTCATTTGAGTTCCAAAATGATGACTTGGAAAACTTATAAGGAAAGAAAGAAAAGATAAGTGCTTTCCAGTGTGAAAGCCAGAAAGAATCCTTAAGACAATTTAAACATGATTTTTAGCATTATACTGAAGCAAGTTAACCTTCTTTTGACTAATGTGAGCGAATAGCACCACCTAAACAGAAGTAATCGGGGAAAAGTGAAGTGAAAGACAAATAAAATATGTTGAAATTGTTTTATATCTAACTTATGTAAAATTGCTTATTTTGATAAAAACAGACATATACAATTTTTATTGATATAAAATGTATTCTTAATAATTTCACCTAAGTGCTAAACATATATTCAAAGAATATCGTACCTTGTCTGGTTTACCCTCGTCATCATGAGCTCCAGATATGAAAATCAGCTTTGTCTAATCTTAATGTAGTAGGCTCCATCCCTGGGCTTCCTATCCTAGAGGCACTGGGATGAACACCATCATCTAAATAATAGCACCACAGATAACCATTACATGGAATAACACTGAAGTTCAAGATAAATACCACCCAAGTCTTATGGGAATGTTGTATAAAAGAGCTAAGAAGAGAACTTTCAATTGTAGCATGTTTCTGTAAGATCAGCATTCGGATTTATTTTCATAGGAGCTACTTTAAACCTGAAGGGTGACCTGTAAATGGCTAGTCTAGACAGTGCTCTGAAGGCCTGGTCTGGGGTGGGTTAGAACTGGATTTTTCTCTTGGGAAGCATTGCTTTTCCGCTGCTCTAGGTGGCCCTTAACTCTGCTCTGTGGAGGTTCTTCCTTTACCTTTTTCCTCCTTAGCTATCTCTGAAGTGGGTATTGGGGACACACATTCTTACAGGGTACACAGCTTTCTCATTCTGGATTCTGCTCATGATGGGTATGTATCCAAGACTTGGTCCCAAAACGTTTAAATGCAGCCTTATGCTTTCTTTGAAAATGTAATCGCCTCAAAAAAAAAAATGACAGATTCCTTATTCATTTTGTTTCAGGTTTCATGTATCATTGATCTTTTGAGAAATATGGTTTTCATATAACATGTACTTCTTTGCTTAAGGCCTTCTTATCTCTCTAGCTATTCTGGAAATGCTATGCCCTCATTCTTATATTTGCTTTGAGGCATCTTAATTCATTTGGATATTTTAATACTAAAGGTAAAGTGCATATCTTTAATTTTCTTTATTCTAACAGATTAAATTTTAATGGGTCTCAAGACTTTCTTAATTTTATCTTTTTACATTTTGAATCTAAAAGCAATCAGCCGTTCTGACTCTACATTGTCCCAAATTTTTGAACTCTATTTATTCCCTTTTATTTCTACTTTGAAAATAGCCAATTATTTTAACTAGCTCATAGCTTTCTTTTAATCTGGTGCCAAATGCATCCAATTGCATTTAATTTAGTTTCCAAGTCATCTACCTATCAATATTCTATAGATTACCATTTATGGTGTATTTTTTTTTTCACATTACAGCTCTCATTTCCAGACTTTAACATCAGTTTCCTCATGACTCCAAGCCAACTTGCTAAGTTAATCACACTGTATTAGTCAGGGTTCTCCAGAGGAACAGACCAATAGAATACAGACTTATAATTTTAAGAGGGGATTTATTAGATTGGCTTATATGATTAGAGGCTGAATCAGCCCACAATGACCATCTGCAGGCTGAAGATCTAGGGAAACTAGTAGCGGCTCATGCTTAGAAATTAGAAACCTCAGAATACTCAGAATAAAAAGGACCAATAGTGCAGCCTGGTAGGTCTCTGGAGGGTTGCTAGTGTAAGTCTGAATTGAAAGGCTAAAAAATCTGAAGTTTGATGTCCACAGGCAACAAGAGTAAAAACAAAAAATGTACTACTCAGAAGGTTAAGTGTGCATTAGCAAGAGCATCCCCCTTCCTCCTTTTTTATTCTATCCGGACCCCTGGCCTATTGGATGGTGTTGCCAATATTCAGGGTGAGCCTCCTCAACTCAGTTAATTGACTCAAATACCAATCTTCCCTGGAAATAGCCTCACAGACACATCTACAAGTATGCTTGACTTATTTTCTAGGCATCTCTCAATCCAGTCAAGTTGACAATCAAGATTAACCATCACAGCCACGTTATCTTGTGTTGTTAGAAGGGTGCTATCCTTCTAGTACACCGTTAGGTCAATTGAGGTGATGCTTAGATTTGAAGGCCAGGGTTAAGATGTAAATTCCATAGCCTTAAATCAGATATATTTGTGTTTTTACCTCAGTGGATATTCCACAATTTTTTTTTTTTAGTTATTGTTCAGAGTTTGTGGGTTGACTTGTGGCAGTTTTCTTTTGCCTTTAAGATTTTGCTTGATATATTACTTTTTCAGTGGATTTCAGGATTGAGGATTTGAGTGAAAATAATTTTATTCAGTCAGATCTAATCAGGTCTCCTAGCAATAAAAATTTGAAGACACAGGGTGTGTATTACATCTCTTATCTTCCATTAATTACTAGGAAAGGAAACACGTCTCAATCTTTACTTAGTTTTTGCTTTAATATAAAGAGGATTTAAAAAATTAAAATAGTATATTTATATGATAGCTCTCCAAAAGCCCACATAGACATTAATAATAGAGTAACATATATACTACAAAGATAAAGTCAATAAGCAAAGTGATAGCATTGGATTGGAGATTTCAGCACCCCTAGGGGAGATGGAATGCAAATAGGACAGTGGAATGTCTCTTCCTGAGAGTCTCTTAGAGAAATAGAATGGAAAAACTAAGTGCCTGTAGAAGAAACTATTTCTAATGAGAATTTGACTTGACAATCTCAAAATTAAGAGGTAACTGGTGCCACAAACATTGGAAGTGATTCTTGGTGCTGAAAACAGGAACATTATTTGAGATTTTATATATGGAATGCTTATTTCTCCAAGTATCCTTTCCCATGCACATGACCCATTGATTTCCACCTTCTCCACTTCTTACCTAAGCAAAAGACCCAGAAGGTTAATGAAGAGAAACACTGAATGAGGAACAAGGACAGTGGAGAATGGAGTAAGACAGAGGATTAGAAATGGCATTAATTAAGAGCATGACTGCTCCTGTTCTCTTTCTGTTAGCACCCAACTTTGTACAACCAATAACACGTTGCAGAATTATCTGGTAGAGAAGACCAATTCAAAACAAAAATACCAACAGATCAACAGATGCTGTCATTCTCTTTCAAAGCCCAATTGCCCTGTAGTGAGTTGCATTAGTAAATAAATCTCTTCTGGGCATGTAGTGTTTTATAATTACCTATTTAACAGCTTCTGCTTAACTAAAAATAATAACAGGGACAGTCACTTCTCAGGTAATATATGAGAAGCAATTCCAACCTGATAAACAAAATCTAAACAGACAAAAATATGAAGAAGAAATGCAGATGAAGCAGAGACCATGAAGAAAGCAAAGGAAAAGAGACATGATGGGAACATTATCAAAAACACCTCTAATATTCTCATGGACATGACAGGGAATTGTATCTATAAAACTAAAATATCACATGGTTTTTTAAGAAAGCATCAGAGAAGAAAAAGGAACTATCGGGTTATTGAATTTTGAACATAAGAAACAATAAAAATTATTTAAAAAGAAGAGGCATTTCCAGGAACATGAGCAAAAGACACATAATGTAAAATAAGTTATAACAAATAATACAGGCAACCAAACTACATAGTAAATATTACAGTAAATCAGAATGCATACTAGATATGTAAGAAAGATAGAACAGGGTAAAATAGGGAGGGAATTAATAAATAACAAAATATTCTAAGATTGAAAGGACAAGTCTACCATGATTTACAGTAAAAACAAAAATCTATTCCAATGCATGTCAGTATAATATTTCAGAACATTAGGAACTAGGTATAATTTTTAAACTATTTTATGTCTGAAATACAAATGAATTAAAAAAGATCAGAAACAAAAGATTTCAGGCTTTTTGCAAAGTCAAAGAAAATGTACCCAAAGCTCTGATTATAAATAATGTTCATCATAGAATTCTATACCCAGCCAAACTACTCGTGAATTTTGGGCTACAACAAATATAACGCCAGACGGTAAAATCAAATTTATCTTGTCATTCTACTTAGGAAACTTGGTGTTCTACTAATATGTAGGAATAATCAAAGCAACAAGAAAATAGGGTTCAGGAAATAGAGGATCAGTACAAGATCAAGAGGGACAATTCTGGGACAACATGCACAGCAGCTTAGAGTAAAACCAGTCCAGAACAGAGCAAGGTTGTCCTCAAAGGGAAAAACTCAAAGAAATTAAAATTCATTAATTGATTTGATGAATTTGATTAGAAAAAAGAAAATATTCTAAAAGGACATGTAATCTGTAAATAAAAAATAAAAAAATTGTTTTCAATATATAAAAATAATCATATTTCACCAATTGTAGTAGACTATTTAAAATATACTTCACTAAATGTTCATTATTGGCAGTAATGAACATTAACAGTGAATACTGGTTTAATCATCATGTATAAAATAACTATATTTGCAGTAGAGAGGGAAAGTGAATAAAGGTGGAATATGTTTTCTGGCTAAGTTCTAATACATCACAGTAATAAATACATAGATCATACCTGAATGGATCAATCTACAAATAAACATATTATTTAAAAATATCAAGATAAATTTATTAATAAACACACAATAGAGTTGAATATTTTGCTCTGATCAGTGAAATTCAGAAATAAAAAAGTAGACCAATTGGGTGTGATGGTGCACGCCTGTAATCCCAGTGGCTTGGGAGGCTGAGGCAGGAGGATCCTGAGTTCAAAGCCAGCCTCAGCAACTTAGTGAGGTTCTAAGCAACTCAGTGAGACTCTGTCTCTAAATAAAAAATACATAAAAGGGCTGGGGATATGACTCAGTGGTTGAATGCCCCTGGGTTCAATCCTTAGTACCAAAAGAAAAAGTAGACCAAAAAGGTTGATATTGTTTTTACATTCAGCTATTTATACCAATTTAACTTTTTAAAACATAAATTTTAAGAAATGAAATGTAAAATACACAAAATCTATACCTTTGCTCTTTAGAAGGTTTGGTTATCATTCCCCATGCCTAGCCCCAGTCACTTGAGAACTAGTCTCATTTTTTGTGCTAGGATTTTGTAGAAAAAAAAATCTGAAATATTTTAGCACTTATACGAATGCTGCCATTTATAATTTAAAGCAGAAAGACAATGATTCTCATTAGAGGAAGAATAGATCTATTTTTGATGAGCTTAAGTAAGTTGCTAATTCCTGCCAGGAGCAATGGTATGGGCACTGACAACGCATAAATATTAATGTCCTGAGAGGCCACGCAGCAACCGCAGAGTAGAACTCACTGGGAGTAATGAGAAATAACACTGGTAATAAAACATGGATAAAATGAGGCAAAGGGTTTTAAATGCCAGGCTGAAGAGTTGACTTTGAACACCAGTAAATCAAAGTCATCTAGCTAGAGATGTTGGATATCAATATAAAAACTCTCTGCCTCTCTTGAATATCGTCCAACCCTCTGAGAGTGTCATGATAAATGTTCAGAAGTGTAATAGAAATCATCGTTTCTTCTCTAATGTTTCTAAGCTCTAAACATAGGGCTCTGGGAAGATCTGTCTCTTTTATACGTGACGTACCCTTCAGATATTTTCTACATTCAAGGGATACGCTTGCCCTTAACCTGCTGCTATGCTGTGGTCTTACTTGGTGACTGACAGCAGGTCAGCTATTTCAAAAGGTAATGATGCTGTTATCTGTGGTCAACATAAACATTCAGAGTTATGAGAGCAGCACAGCGCCATGAAGCATAAAACTTGCATAACCATCTGTGTTTGGATGTGTCTATCCACAAGGGATCTCTCAGCTGCTCACCTCTCCCTCATCCCCTACCTCCATGGAAATTACAGAATCACTGGGGAAAGGAAATTGAATCCATTCTGTAACAGCAAAGAGAAGTTTTTAAAGCAGTCACTGTTCCCAATCTTTTCAACGTCAACTGCACTAATGGCAGAAAAGGGATAAAATTGTAGGGGAAATATTCACTGTAGCCTGACATAGCTTTCTAAAAACAGAAAGTGTCCTTGAACTTGTGATTTGTCTTTTTAAATGATGGTCATTTAATGACATTACATGCACAATTAATATATCCCTTTTCTGTTTACCTTTGAAATAATTTATAGTGTTCTTCAATTACATTGTACATTTGACTTTCTCTTAATTCTTTCTGGGAATCTTGACAAAATGCTGCGGCGAATGTCCTATTGGCCTCATACTTGTGATTATTCCTCAGCACATATTGCAGGTCTCTTGTGGGGACTGAGGAAGCACGTGTGAGCAGGCACTTAGATGCTGGTTCTGATGGCAGCTCCCGCCCTGGCCAAGACAATGTCAGGGTTTTAAATAGTGGGACATGGCAAAAAACACAAGTCAAAATTTCTGCATTCTAATTCGGCCACTTTGAATAAGCAAACTCTGGTCTCTGTCCCTCAGTTTCCTGTCTGAGAATGTAACACTATTTTACCTGTAGCACTAAGGAGACTTTACTAGGATCAAGTAAAAAACAACACACCAAGTACAAGGCAAGCAGAGGTGTTCAGGGATGACCTTCTATCTTGTGTTGGGCCCATCTCTCTCTAACTCCTAATTTTATATTCTCTAGGGTGCTTGAGATTCTGGAACATCTATCAACCATCTTCTGGAGGCTGAGCCTTTTTTCAAAAAAATCTTTGCTTCATAGCCTTGTGCCCAATTTGCTATAATAGAGAAGTTTCTTAGAAGTCAAGAAATTATTTAAAAATTCTTTGATGTGAGAACTACCAATATCATCTGTGTTTTAATACATGAACAGGTATGGTCTACCTTTGATGCAATAAATTACTTTTTTACATTATAGGAAAAATAATGATAGTCATCTTGTTTTATAAGGATCTTCCCAGCAGAACTACTGTTGTTGCTATTGCTATCTCCTGTTTATTTATATGCATATATATATATGTGAAGTGACGAGAACCATGCAACATAGGTGCCCATCCCTGAGAAAAGATTACTGGAAAGATTTTTGAGGAAGAGTAAAGTCAAGCAATCACTACTGATCTAAGCTGTGAAACCATGAGAAGCAGCACTTTGCAATGAGAATAGAAAATCCTCCACAGCATGGGAAGCATAACAGAATAGAATTTTTTAAAAATTACCCTTGCAGGTTGAATTTAAAATATTTATCAACACCTCTGTTTCTTTACAAAGTAATTAAAATGCTACAAATTCTTCTTTGTTAATGCATACATGCAGAAAATAGAATGAAAAGGCTTTGAAAGGAGACATGTGTTTCAACAGATGAAAGTGAGATTAAGGTAGGAGGTCCTGCCATGTGCTCTGGTTCAATGCAGTTGCTAAGGGAAAAGTGCTCATGTTTGAAAGCTGCGGGAACCTTGGTCTTAGAAAACCAGACACTGGGTCTCACAGGCTGTGAAACTGAATACCCAGATCCCAACAGGTGGATAGGCTGAGGCTGTGATGAACTATTTAATCTTCTGTGTTTAGCACAGGAACCTAGGTAGCCTGCACCAATAGATGGAGCCATTCAAAACTAGCAAATGGAGATGACAGAGAAAAATCAGGGAAAAGGAGAAAAGAGAAAAGAGTCCAAAGATAGGAAATGACATCTCCAGAAGAACTGCAAACACACACACACACACACACACACACACACACACACACACACACACACACACAATCAGTTTCTTTGAAATCAAACATCTCATTGGCAAAAGTTAACCTAATGTTAAGAGGAGTGGAAAAGTTTTTTCTCTACTATTCCTGGCAAATGAAGCCTGTTGATAATGAGCTCAATGAGAGGAGCATCTCCAGCTACAGTTATGGGCCTAGATCTATGTGGTTCATCTTCTTGAAGAGAACTCACATTGTGATGCAGAATTTGAACCTGTCTGACTATGATTAACTCAATTTGTTCATCTTTGTTTCTACCCCAGTCAAATTCATCCTACTTGGGAACAAAAAATGGTCTCCATCTTGCAATTTTAATGAGGTTATGAGGCTAAAATCCTCTTCTTCTTGTTGACCTGCTTCTTGATATATATTCTTTGTTTATCCCCCATGGATGCTGTTTTTGTTCTTGTATTTTGATTGTTAAGCAGATAGGATAATAAGAATTATATAAATATATAACTTGCTGTTAGTCAATTATTGCATAAGCATTTTCCATGTTTAGTTTCCATATTTACTTGTGTTGTTTATAAACCTAGTATTCTGTTCCATGAAGTATTTATGCCAAAATTGACTTAAACATTCACAGTGGTCAAGATGATGAGCTGTCTCTAATTCATCACTAACATAAATAACATATGGAGAAGGACGAAGATGGCGGAATAGAGAAGGTGGCTCTCCTGGCTGCTCTGTGGCATGATACCAAGAAAGCAGGCAGCTCCTATGAAATGTTGGTAAAAAAAAAAAAAGTGGGGTGGTGGGGCACTTTACTGGGAATTGAACTTTCAAAGACGAATGGGGACTTAGAAGCTGGATATAATAAAATAAGGGAAAAAATCTCCCAAGCTACCACCATCACTGGTGCTAGCTAGAGCAGTCCCCCCTGATGAAAGTGGAGGGATAAAGAAATTAAAGAAAATCACTTTTAGGGTATAGAGAGATCAGAGAGCAAAGATATTGCCAGACTCACCTGAAAGGTGTGTCACATAATATCTGTGTGTGGAAAAGAAGTGCATCTCTTCCAGCTGCCCTTAGCGGACAGAAGATGGAACCATTTTGCAGCCACAGTATGGGGGCCGGCAGCTGGGCCTGAAATACAGGCCTGAAAAACCCATGCTGCATAACAGAGTGTGTGCCTAAATGACCAGGAGAAAATCAGATGTGGAGAGGGGTTTACGTGGAGGAATATGAGTTGTAGAAAGCTGTGGGCTCCTCCTTCCCCCTTGAGTCCAGCAGCTCACAGGACCAGCTTCTTCCCTCCCAGCCAGGAATTTGAAAGGGGGGAGGGGGTGACTGAGCTTGGAGAGTCACTCAAGAGGCCAGAAAATGTGGGCTCTGTGTGTGACTAAGGGCACAAAGGATTGGCTCCTCCACCACATGAATGGAACCCAGGGGAGATCCCTGGGTTGCAGGCTTCCAACGTGGACCAGCAACTGCTGGGCCCTGGAGCTGTACTGGTTTACACCTTCAGACCACTTGCATTCAACAAAGAACCTGGAGCTTACCTGGGCCTATCATCCACCTCCAGGAACTCCACGTATAGGGATCACCTCTCACAGAACACTTCAGATGCTGCTGAGAAGGAAAGGCGAGAACTTATTGAACTACAATGGAAACCATTATTTAATTTTTTATCAAGAACTATTTTTTTCTTTTCTCTTTTTAATTGTGAGTTGAATTGGTCATGGACACTTATACATATTTGTTTTTTTCTCATTTCTAATATTTCTAATGCTTTTTGGAGGCAGTTATTTTTCAGAGCTCATTTTTTTTGAGGACTAGAATGTTTGATTTGTGTATTTTGGTTTTGGTATGTATTCTATTATTTTTTAAGTTATTATATATAAATTTTCTCTCATTTATCTATTATCCTTGATTTTCTTTCACTGTTTTCTTCTGCTAACAGCCAATCTCTTTTGTTCTCTCTTTCACTCTTTCTTCAGCTTTTTTTCTCTCCTCCTCCCTCATAATCATCACATCGTACATCTCTTCTGTTCTCACCCTGTTCACCATTTGAAATCATAAACCTTTTGCAAACTTACTGTTTCTACTGTGGGCAATCATTCCTCTTCTCATTTCTGTTAATTGTGACAATTAACCTTGTAGACATCAAAGTAGGAATTATTTAATGCTGCATATTGTTTGTATTGATTGCTGTCATTATTTTTCTCCCCCTAGTCTTTCAGATACTGGAAACCAGCAGAGACATTATAAATCCATAGGGAAGCATTCTATTGCCTCAGATCTGTACTGTTAGGTGGGTATACAAACAAAGAGCATGAAAAAGCAAATGAGCAAACCACCCCAAGGAAACCAAAATACTTCAACTACAGAATCCATCTACAACACAGTGGAAGAAATGTCAGAAAAAGAGTTTAGAAAGTTCATAATTAAGCTGATCTGCAAGGTAAAGGAGGGGGTAAGAAGTGAAATCAGAGAGAAAATATAAGAAGTGAAAAATCACTTCAATAAAGAGGTAGACATTCTGGAAAAAAAATCAAGTGAAAATTCTTGAAATGAATCAATAAACCGAATTAAAAAATAAATGAAATGCATCCTCAGCAAACTAGACAACTTGAAAGATACAGCTTCCAGCAATGAAAAAAATATATAATCTTGAAAATAAAGTTGACCATGCAGAAAAGATGTTAGAGACCATGTACAGAACTTCCAAGAAATATGGGATAAGATATAAAGGCCAAATAAAAGATTTTTATCAGGATAGAAGATGGCTTGGAGATACATACAGAAGAAATGCACAATATTTTCAATGAAATAATATCAGAAAATTTCCCAAACCTTAAGAATGAAATAAAAAAATTACAGAAGACTTACCAGACCCCAAACATACAAAATTACAACAGAGACACACAAAGTCACATTATTATGAAAGTGCCTAGCATATAGAATACGGATAGAACTTTAAAGCTGCTAGAGAAAACAGGTCACATTTAGATCTAAACCAATTGAGATCTCAGATGATTTCTCAACCCAGACCTTGAAAGCTAGGAGGTCTTAGACTAATATATATCAAACTCTGAAAGGAAATGGATACCAGTGTAGACATAAATTTCCTATGTTCATATGTGAATATATCACAGTGAATATCCACATCATGCACAACCACAAGAATGGGATCCTAATGATAAGATATTCTCTCTCTCTCTCTCTCTCTCTCTCTCTCTCTCTCTCTCTAT